CCATTGTCATCAATAAAAGTAGAGTTTCTATGTTCCATTGGTCACTCTATAATAAATGTTCTCAGAATACTAAAATCCATTCTAGAAATAACACAATTAAATTCAAACTATTTAGTCATGAGAAATAAATGCAAAGTAAACATTTAATGGAGCCGACTAACACATACTGCTTTGAAATTGGTTTCTCTTTAAAGCAATAATCTAAAACATAATACTATTATTATTGAAAGAGTTTTAATCTAACAATATGAATCTCTTTAGCTGACTTTATCACAGTCAGACATCTTATAATTATTTTGTGTCTGTGTAAAGAAAAGCAACTTGCCTCTAGTGTATTTCAATATCAAACTTAAGTGTGCAATTACAAAGTTAAAAGGAGGCATTTTAAACAACCAAGCATAAAATCTGCAAAAGTCCAATGCGCTTTATTTTGATAACTTTTCTGAAATACACTATTGCCTATAACACTCATCTAATTTCCCTGGAAGAATAAGTTTATCTTTAGAGATCTAAAGCAAATGGTTACTAAATAATGCAAAAGTCTAATAAGTTTTTAGCTTCTATAACACGTACTCATTACTGACAAATGATAAAAGGTTTCAGGAGAAAAGAATAATTATATTATTTTAAAGTTTAAATTAATAACTTAAAACTTTTATATATTAGCATGTTTTCTATATTTTAAAAAGATGATATCTCTTGTTTCTGTTCATTTTAACATTCAATACAAGCATCAAAGAATCCACACGGACTCAGCTGTGCATTCTTATGAGCCATACCGCAGGAATACATACGTGAGAAAACACAGCAGGATATAAATATGCAAAACTCCAACTATATAGAGTTGTATAACACTTGTTGAAGCCTGCAAAGTTGACTTACTTCATTAAAAGCACTGTTTTCAGTGCCATAAAATCTGTAGAATACATATACTTAAAATATGAATGTGGTTATACTTTAGTTACACTTTAGTTTCTAAGGTTATAATTAATGAAGCTTACATGAATTTTAAAGTCATATCTACTATGTTTGACTTTTTCAACTAAAAACATCATGTATGTATTTCTAATTTTTTTTATCTTGAGGATTAAACAAAGGTTGGTAGGACTTGGCCCTGCACAGTTCAGTAACTTTCTTCTACTTCTCTCGTGTCAAACATTTGCTTCTAGAATGCTGAAAGGTCTAATAACTCAAAACAGCCTGGAGATTGAAACACAATTCCATCAGATTGCTGATGATGCAAAGAAGCCTAAATGAACTAAATACCAGAAAAATTCCTAGAAAAGACAGTTACTTTTACTACTGTCAGGGCAGTGGGAGAAGTAAGCCAAAATTCATCAGTGTATGAGAAGATGTAACAGATCAGAATCCCAAGAATCTCAACAAAAAACACCTGCCAAGTGCCTAGCCTAGACTCCTTTGAATGGGATTCCATTCAATTGTCACAAAGAGCTTAGAAGTGCACTATTTCTATATGTGACTTTAATTCCTGTTTCACAAAATCAGCTTGAAATCAGAAGGAGGCCACAGCCAGGGTTTATGTCAGGCAAGTTAGTTCTGAAGCAGTTTGCCAGTAAGTTTATCTATCCATCAATAGAGCCTGATGGCTGAACTCCATTTATCAAACATGATTTCAACTACCTCCTTAAGTAAACCCAATACAGTAAAGCCAATTTTGTAGAAACAGTTTTTTACATGGATGCAGGTGCCAAGGTTCCCCACTCCAAGCATCCAGCTCTGCATCAAAATATTACATGTCAGATTTAACCTATTCTCAACTCAAACAATATTCAAGAATATTATAATTTAAATGACAAGAATAACATACATAGTTTATCCCTATTATTTCCATAAGAATAAATTGTACTTTCTATTATTTGCAAGGGCTTGCTATACTTCTAAAGAACAAGATAGTAACTTAAAAGTGACTGAGGTTTTTCAAGATAGGGTTTCTCTGTTGCTTTGGAGGCTGACCTGGAACTTGCTATAGACCAGGCTGGCCTTGAACTCACAGAGGTCTGCCTGCCTCTGCCTCCCAAGTGCTGGGATTAAAGGGTGTGTGCCACTGCCCGGCCCAATAAGTGATTAAGTTTTAGGAAAAACTTGGACCTTTGGTATCTTTAGAAGTTGCTTTCGGCAACCTAAATGCCCCTTGAACTAAGAATGGCTAAGGAAAATGTGGTACAATTATACAATGGAGTACTACACAGCAGGAAAAAAAATGACATCTTAAATTTTGCAGGCAAATGGATGGAGCTAGAAAACATCATTTTGAGTGAGGTAATCCAGACCCAGAAAGACAATTATCACATGTACTCACTCATAAGTGGTTTTTAAACATAAAGCAAAGAAAACCAGCCTACAAACCACAATCCCAGAGAACCTAGACAACAATGAGGACCCCAAGACATTGATCTAATCTACATGGGAAGTAGAAAAAGACAAGATCTCCTGAATAAATTGGGTGCATGGGGATGGTGGGATAGGGTTGAAGGGGGAAGGGAGAGCAAGGGAGGGGAGCAGAAGAAAATGTAGAGCTCAATAAAAATCAGAAAAATTTAAAAAATGAAGCTGCTTTCTGAATTTTTACCACATAAAATAGAGATATCTACTGTCCTACACACTATCCAAACAGCTGCTAGTCTCAGATCATTCAAAGAGAGATGGTACTGTGAAGTTTATCAAGCCTGTGATCATAATCAACTTCTCTAAAATGCACATCTCTTAGAGAATTAGCAATGAGTTTATGAACTATTAAATATAGGACATTTTTGTATTTTAAAATTTCACCAAAACTGATTCATAAGAATGCCCTTTCTTAATGGTTTCAAAACAAAAGCAAGTAGAATATTGGCCAAGGATCCTGAATGGAACAGTGGGGGCGAGTACTTCCAGAGGAGTGCCTACCTGCAGGCATCTCAGCATGCAGCAATAACAGAGTGATATGTCAGGCTTAGCTCTCCACCAAAATAAAAATGTAATATTGATGGGTGCTGTAGAATAGCTTCTACCTCATTCCATGTGACTCTTGCTGTTTCCATTAGTTCCAACTCAACTTAAATTACTAATGGTGACTTCTAAGTCTTAAACTCTAATGTCATGCAATTGGCAGAGGGCAGTTAAAAATGTCTGGAAACAATAAGTCACACTCTCAATACATAATAAAAATACCTGTTTGGAGTGATGTGAGAGTGTCATATATCAATCTGTTGATTTCATTGGTTAATTAAATAAAAAAACTGCTTGCCCTGATAGGTTAAAACATAGGTGGGAGGAGTAAACAGGAGGAAGAGGAAGTGAGGTAAGACTCCTCAGAGACACGAGATAGCTCTGCTCTCAGAGACACACGCGACTCAGGATGGACGTAGGCTAGAATCTTCCCGGGAGGTAAGCGCACCTTGGGGTGCTTACACACATTATTAGAAATGGGCTAGTCCAGGTGCAAGAGTTAGCCGAGAAGAGGCTAGATATAATGGGCAAGCAGTGTTTAAAAGAATACAATTTGTGTGTTGTTATTTCGGGGCATAAGCTAGACAGGTGGCCGGGGTGCTGGGGACGCAGCCCCGCTGCTCCTATTTCAACAATAATTATCTCAAGACCTGAAAACAAACTACTGGACATTAGTAACCCTTCCTGACTATGGCGAGTCAGGTGCTTCCTCTCCACTGTCTTATAGACAGCTGATGGAGGAAGGTAATTAGTTAATTATAATAAACCAACTGCTTGGCCTCATAGCTTAGAACATAGGTGGGTGGAGTAAACAGAATAGAATTCTGGGCGGAAGAGGAAGTGAGGTCAGACTCTTCTCTGCTTCCAGAGGGACCGAACAGCTCTGCTCTCTGGAGCAGACACCATGATGGACGGAGGCTAGAATCTTCCCAGTAAGCGCACCTTGGGGTGCTTACACAGATGATTAGAAATGGGCTAAATTAATATGTGAGAATTAGCCTAGAAGAGGCTAGATAGAAATGGGTCAAGCAGTTAAATGAATACAGTTTGTGTGTTGTTATTTCAGGCATGAGCTAGCCAAGGGCCGGGGTGTTGGGGACGCAGCCCCGCCGCTCTTATTTCAACAGACAGCGAGCACACAGTCCTGTGAAAATGTGAAGAAACAGAGGCTACAAGCCTCTGCAGGTAAAGATGTGCTTGGGGAGCGCAGATCATCCACCTCATGTTAGCATTTCTTCCTACACCTCAGCCCTGTCTCCTCATGTCACTTAACTGCACTCAGATGTAGTGTTTGTAACCAGTAAAATATAGGCCCAAAGGATACACCACAGAAGAGCTCTTGAACTTAGTAGGGAATTATCAATGAGTGAAAAGAATTGAAAACACATGTAGGCCAAATTGGATAGACTCCTAAGTAAAAATAGAAAGAATAAAGATTTTGAAGTAGCAGTCAAAATTTGTCTCATTTGTTCTGTTTAATACAAGTGTTCATTTTGATTCATTTTGTTTAGAATCTTGAGCTTTGTAGAGACAGAGACAGAGACCCACATTGGAGCACCGGACTGAAATCTCAAGGTCCAAATCAGGAGCAGAAGGAGAGAGAGCACGAGCAAGGAACTCAGGACGGCGAGCGGTGCACCCACACACTGAGACAATGGGGATGTTCTACTGGGAACTCACCAAGGCCAGCTGGCCTGGGTCTGAAAAAGCCTGGGATAAAACTGGACTCGCTGAACATAGCGGACAATAAGGACTACTGAGAACTCCAGAACAATGGTACTGAATTTTTGATCCTACTGCACGTACTGGCTTTGTGGGAGCCTAGGCAGTTTGGATGCTCACCTTACTAGACCTGGATGGAGGTGGGTGGTCCTTGGACTTCCCATAGGGCAGGGAACCCTGATTGCTCTTTGGGCTGACAAGGGAGGGGGACTTGATTGGGGAGGGAGAGGGAAATGGGAAGCGGTGGCGGGGAAGAGACAGAAATCTTTAATAAATAAATTAATTAATTAATTTAAAAAAGAATATAAATCACTTGAAGAGGCCACAAATAAATTTTCATAAAAGTTTATTTTTGAACCTAGAAATATGCAAATTTCTAAAGTAGGAACAATACAGAATGTTTCGCAGTATTTTAATGTTATTTTTTTTTTACTTAAATCCACCTTGCATTTTGATCTCTGTAAGCAAATAACATGGTGCAGAACAACAATCCTCTGTGCTCTGGTTTCAGTACCAGCAGATTTTCAGTCCCCAGGGAATGGTAGAACATGTGCTAAAACAAAGGCAATTGATTTTCTTGAACACTTCATTTCTCCACAGAGCATAGCAACACTGAACTTCACATTATTCTGACACAAATAATCACCAAATGGCCCACCCGTGCAGCTAGACATCAGAAAACAGTTCTAAAGCACATCAGCGGAATTTATCATTAATACAGAACCATACCTACACTGATGCACATGTGTAGTACGCTCCCACAGAAATATGTCAATAGTTTTATGCAAAGAAGTTCTTATACAAACGTGTTAAGACAATTATCAGGAAAAGGAAGTTGGTACATATATGGTAACAAGCAAGGCAAGCCCATCATCCCAGTGATGACAGCAAGCAAAGAAAGGGAACATTCTACCACCAGCCAACAGCCACCACAAAAGTGGATGTCAGCTTCTACAGCATTCTATTGCTCTTCCACTTGCTTTAGAAAGTTACACTTAGTGTAGCAACAGGGTATATATGATATCGGTATTTAATATGAATGGAAAAACATCGGTACAGCCATACAGATTTCAGGCTAACTCCATACCCCTGAAAATAGGAGTCAAAATGAGTCAAGATGGAAGAGCAGTCAAAAAGCACTGGGTGGTAAAGTATGGTTTCTGAAAGAAGAAAGCTCCAGTAATCTTCAATGAAGAAAGCCACTAGAAACGTTGGGATGCTGGCTATCAAAGTGGTACCCCAAGATATTAACTGCAACAGATTCCAAGTCCACACTAACTTGTATCACCTCAGTTTAATAATCCAATAAATGACAAAAAAGACAAACAATGAAAACAACATCATATAGCATAGTAATTTTGTTTGGCTTCCTCTGGACAAAATTTTCAGTCTTCCCATGGTTTTACCTAGAAATCCAGTTGTAGAATCAAATTGTGAATCCTATGAAAGAATAAGAAAAACATAATAAATTCTAATATTCTAAACATGCTCATCCAAGCAAATTACATAAGATTATTAGTATGTATTTTTAAAGATAATTTGTATGTAATCAACTCAAGTATCTATTTATTAGCTTGGGAAATCAGCCTGATTATTCTATGCAAAATAAAGCAGTTTTCTCAGTGGTTCTTTTATTATCCAATAAGGATTTCTTTCAGTTCCTGAGAATCATTAAAAAACTCAAAACTCAAATGATTTAGGACTTTCTTATTTCAATTATATGGATACAAAGCCATTAACAATAAAGGCAAGTCACCCTGTGCTAGTCAGCATGTCTTTGTCCACTTTCTGTTTAGATATTTTTTCCCCCAAGGTCAAATGTGTGAGTGTTTAGATACTTCAGTGCCCAAAACGGCTGTCTTTTGTTTAGACAGATGACTTAGAATTACAGAGAAATTTACTAAAAGTTAAGAGAATATAGAAGTTGACAGAGCAATACGTGGAGAGGATTTAAATACATGCATGAAAAATGCCATATTAAAATAAAGCCAGAAGAGCCTTTAAGATAAGTAGACTGGCAGAGGTGAGAGACAACACACTTGCTTTAAGATCTCAATATGCTGACATGAGCAGGCACCAGCACAACGAGGCTCCGCATAGCTTAGTCTCCACATAGCTCATGCACCTGAAACCCTTGCTTCTTCATCAGAGCCACTTGGGACGCTTCTCACAAAATCTAAATGCTGGGCTCCCCTAAATGAGATTTTGAATGAGTTTACATAAAAAGAAACAAAAACAAAAACAGGAATATCTGTTTTCAAAGAACACTGCATTTGATGCCATATTTGCTTTTAGATAGCTATTTTGAATGCATGTGAAGAAACAAAGGAAGGTCTAGAGAAGCTGGGTATCCAAAGTTAGCATCAGTGACTGACTGGACGGCTGCTCTGAGAAGAAAAGGTACATGCTCTTGAGCTTGTTTAGACTAGAAATAAAGAGACCTTGTCTACTCAAATCTGAGGAATTTGCTCAGCAGTAAACCTTAGGAAATAAAGTTGGCGGAGGAAGTGTCTGTTAAGTGAAAGGCACTTGGTTGGACATAAAGTGCTTTTTTTATGGCTAGGTTAATAATTACAAGTGCCTACCCATTACAATTTCTAAGACCACTCTAATAACCATCACCATTCGGTTCTCAACAGTGCTTTATACCAGAGTTAAAGTGCATTGGCTTCAATGTTCACTTCTTATTTACATCTTAGAAAAGAACAACGCAAAAATACATTTGATAGAAATTCTAAACTGATTAGCTAAAAACTGAGTGAAGTCCAACAGGACTTACAATTCCAGGGTCTGTTTAACTGGATAAAAATAAAGGATAGGGTGGAGAAGAGGAGAGGAGGAGCCATGAGAGCTGAATATATTCAAAATACATCATGGGAAATTCTTGAAGAACGTATTAAAATTTTATTTTTAAAAAGTATTAGTGCATAAATTATATCTGTATAGAGTTGTTAACAAAAAATGTTTTTAAAAATGTAATTCCTTATACCTGGTCAACAAACTAAATTTGAAAACATTAGATAAAATTTCTTAGTTAAAATCATTAAAACTTACCATTTCAGATAATAGTTTGTTTTGGTTTCTAACTTCATGGCCTATTTCAATGGAAAGCTAGGAAGAAAGCGAATACATTACAATTTACATGAAGGTATTCAAAAGTGATAAAGTAAAAGCAACAATGCCCTACTTAGCATATTTAATTTCTCAGATGAAACTGTATTCTAAAAATATACACTCTCTCCTCACACTTTGTCCAGTAAAATATTGGAATATAAATTTAAAATTTTCCCCTTCCAACAATGAACATATCTCTCTTCTCTTCCTAATATTCAATCTCTATGTTAACATTCTCCTCCTGGCTCCCCTATTCTTGTATTCTTTCTTCTGTTTTTTGGTTTTTTTTTTTTTAGTCATATAAAAGTATTCACCCGCAGATTCCGTTTTTATATTTTAGCAAATACAAACACTCACATGACCAATTCAAATACAGACATATACATTTAGTATTCTCTTAACAAAATATGGCATTTATTTGAATATAAGTGTAATTTGTTATTTTAAAGACTTTGGGTTTAAAATAATAATAAATTGGAAAAACCCTTAAGGTTAGTATTATCTATAACCTAAAATTATGTAAAAAGAATATGAGTGTGTAAAACAACAGTTGCTATGCAAAACTATACCTCATAGCTTACACAACAAATTCATCAGAGGTTTCCCTTCTAATGAACTTAAACACAATTAATTACTGAAAGTCTTTGTAAACAACTATTAAATGTTCTTCTCAATTTAATCTGAGTGAAAACCAGTCACAGATAATACTGATATGGAATTATACTAAAATTATGGCGATCAGATATGAAGTTTTCCTCCAAATTCATCAAATCAGAGATAACAAAGCAGGCAGCCCAACTCACCCAACTACTTAACATGCCATTCAGGCAAAAGGAATAAAATCTCCAGTCTTCTAATATGGGAGCTCAATAATCAACACTAGAAAGTTTTGCTTGTTTAGTTAAGACATTCAATTCTATGTCCTTCCCAAACTTATGTTTCTTAACCTCTGAACATTATACATGATTAGGTCCATAGATTAAATCATTTTAATTAATATGATTTTGGAAACAATACCATATATCAGAATCCAAGCTGAATACAGTTTAATTTTTCAATGACTGAAACTAAATACCAATTCCATGTAACAATGTGAGCATCCACTGAATGCTTCACATGTATCATATGTTTATTGCACTGGAGAATCAAGACTCATGCTTTTAACATCATCTTCTATAATTCCTTTAGCAAAAATTCACTCAATATTGCTAAGAAGGAATTATACTACATGTCACAAATGACCCCAGGTTTTGGGAATGAGTGAATTCTGGATGAAGTACTGAGAGACAGCATGAAAAGAGGCAGATGCAGCGATGGGGCCTTTCATGAAGAAGACAACTTCAAAGTAAGGAGGAAGACAATGAAACTGCTAAAGGCAAAGTTTAATTTTGAAAATATGGAATTGGGGCAACATCAGTATGCAGAGAACAAAAGAGAACTCTTATTTTTCTGGCATCAAATCCGTATGCATTCTTGATGTGCTGAAGAGAAGTTCTGCTCTGAGGAACATATGGCACAATCAGTCTACAGAATGTGAACTTAACCTTTTAAGGAACAGTGGAATCCAAAGACTTCGAGAGGGCAGGATAAGCTTTAACAAAATTCTACCAATGATTGTAACAACATAACATAGACCAGGGAAAGCTGAGACAGGTCAAGAGATTCTTCCAGGGGTCTAAGCATAAAAAGCAGGACTGTGTTAGAGAACAACAAGAAAGCCATGACTCAAACAAGGCTTAAAGACAGAGGAGAGAAAGACTTGTGTAATGTATTCAAGCCTCTATCAGAAAAGGCTAGAGGAGCTATTTCAATGGCTCTCCTGATGCTTTGTCCAATGGAATTATTGGACAACAAAATTTAAAATTTCTCTTCCTTCTAACAGTGGCACCTCTCACTTCTCTTTCTTATAGTAGTCAATCTACCTGTCAACACTCTCTGGTTCTGTTATTCTAGCAAACTCTGTTTTCTCCTTCAGTCATAAAAATTAAATGTTTTCATCTGTATATTCCTTACATTTTATAATGTACAAGTATTCATATAAACAAGTCAAATACACACATACACATTTAATATTTTCTTAACAATATATGGTATTTCTTTTATTATAAATCTAGACTGATTATTTTAAATATGTTTTCTTTACTATAATAACAAATTGGAAAGAAATTACAAGTTAGCACTATCTAAACTTAAAATTATAGAGAACACATGACTGGCTCTGTTTAAACTACTGCATAAATGTACAGTACATTTTAGATTTTGCTAGGTACACAAACACAAATACACAATTGAGGTTTGAGAAAAATTAAACCAAAGTACCCTAGATTTTAACTTGTGGCATCTTCTAACTTACTTATGGGCAGCCTGAACTTGTGCGGCACTGTGACCTCACCGCACACGTTTCTAAGTTAGTTCCTTATTAAGATGACAGTAAGCACAAATCTAAAGGTGAAGTGGGAAAGCACTGGTGCTGTACTTACAGATTTGATAGCATCCACTTTGCTCCTCAGACTTTCAGTGAGTCTGTCGTTCTCTTCTTCACAGGCATTATATCCACTACTGGCATAGCCATAGTTCCCATAGCTGCCAGGAGCTGCTCCGTCACCTACAAGGATCAGAGACAACTTGTAGGACTGCAAACAAAAACTTAAGCTACTTCCCAAAGTCTAGCAGTTAAAACAAACTGACAAAGACCCCTGGAGGGCGTTGCAGACCCCATATATTTATAATAGTTACACTGAAAATCAATTTTAAAAAATCAGAACATTAAAACTAAAACAATTCTTTTTATACCCTCTTTTCAGGAAAGTATGCATTTTTTCAATACACATTTATTGATTGCTTAAAGACACTAAAACAGGCCTTGATATACAAGAATATTTGAGAGAAACTTCTTGCATACTAGAAATACATGTTTTAATAAAGGACACAAACGTAGAAACATCCACCCAAAAGAGAAGCTAGATGATAAGAGAAAAGGTGTGGAGGAAGGGGTTCCCGTGGCAGAAAGATGCTAGTTCTTTAACGAGCAACTTCTCTTCTAAGAAGCAAGTAGTGAAAAGTGAAGAAACAAAGGGAAGTAGAGGCCATTAGTGAACACCGAGGGAAAAGGTCCAGTAGCTTATAGAGGCTATAAACTGAGATTTATAAAGAATTCACTCATTTTTTTCAACAAGTATTCGAGAAACATCCCTGTATCAACTCTACTTTTCTGCTATTTGTAAGAAGCTGCATATAGGAGATGGTTTAAAAATTACAATATCCATTATTCTGTCTACTACAGTACTTGACAGTCACTAAGAAAACAACAGGTATAGTGAGCATTGGGCAGCAAATACATATATAAATGTGTTGGGACTGGGATATTATTATAAACTGATGTCAGAATTTTCTTTGCAAAGGAAGAAAATGCGCTACACAGCAAAGAAGAGTGATTGTTTGGAATAAAACAATAAAGAAAATCATGAAGACCAGTGACCAAAATCATTCAGTATTTCTAGGAGAATAAATTGACAGTGGCTGTGGCAATATAGCTGGATTAGCTTCTGTCTTTCCATATGAGATCTCTCAACAAAAGGGCTCCTTGGTCTCAGTCAGCTGTTGAGAAGTCACACTGTTGGATGGACCTAGAATTGTATGCTTTGATATTGGGACTGAAGAAGAACAAAGCCCCCAAACTTTGGAATGTGGTGTTAGAGGTCCTTCTGTCTATGTGTTGCTTTCATTAATGAATAAAGAAACTGCCTTGGCCTGTTGACAGGGCAGAACATAGGTAGGTGGGGAAGATGGAACTGAATTCTGAAGGAAGAAAGCACAGTCAGAGAGACATCGTGGAGCCACCATAGACAGACATGTTTAATCTTTGTCGGTATGCCACTGCCACGTGGTAATATACAGATTACTAGAAATGGGTTAAATCAATATAAAAGTTAGCCAATGAGAAGCTAGAGCTAATGGCCCAAGCAGTCTTTTAATTAATACGGTTTCTGTGTGGTTATTTCGGGGCTAACTAGCTGAGCAGCAGGGACGAACAAGTGGGCCCTCCTCCTACAGGTATGGTTTGACAAAAGAGTGGAGAATGTATTAAAGGGACTAGATTATCCATGGTTGGAAGCAGCTTCTCTAGTGAACCAAGAAAGCGGAATAAAGGAATAGCCTTAAAGCTACAGGCTACCATAGGCTCAAGCAGCAAATGGAGTAGCAATGGTAGTAAGAACAAAAACTGTAACAGCCAAGAGGGTGGACAGCAGGAAGTCTGAATGATGGTTAATGTGTGAATGAGAAACTCTTTCAAAGCACAGCACAAATTTAATTTTATTAAGTAGCAAAACTCTTGAGTCCTTACAGCTTTGATTGTATAACATCAACCTTGACACCTAGATTGAACTATAAGACCACAAATTAATCATTCTATATTTCCATTAACACACATGGACACACAGACACATACATGAACACGTGTGCACATACACACTCACCACCACCACCTCAGTACTTTAAGTGAATACTTGTAAATTACTGACTAAAGAATACAATTTTAATTTACTGCTAAGCAACTTTATCAAGAGCAGAGTATCTTATGCATCTACTTCCTCCTATACCTATGAGCACTTTCTATGCATCAGAAACTTACAATTCTCCTTGTACCACAACAACAAAATGTTGAATATTCCAAACAGATGGCACAGTTCCGTACTCACATCTCCTATCAAATCCTGGCATGCTATCCATGCGGTTCTCAGGACATGTTTTCAAACAGATTAAAAGCTGCTGAGATGCGCACAATCATTTCTTCCCACTCACCAACTAAAATACCACTTAAAATACCCTGTGTAAACTCTAACAAGAGCAAGATCTGTAACTTGTCTATGTGACTAAGAATCTCAATAGGACATACTGTCTAGTAAGTTACTCTGGAATAGCTAACGTTAATTACTGGATAACTTCACCAAGGAATTCATTCAAATTTAATGGCTATTTTATTTCTTTTGTTTTGACTCTCTGGCCAATCTTAAGTTTAATTGTAGAGTTCTTCCACTTTTTCCTTTAAAGTAAAATTCTCACTTTTTGGTTGATGCAGTACCAAATCTGTCTTCAAACTACCCTCCATTCCAATGCAGAAAAACAAAACAAACAAAACTAAAATACCAGAGCTCCTATTCCAAACCCAACCCATTTTTTTCTGTGCGAATCGCTTACTAGCATTAAGAGCTGTAGAAAAACAATCCTGAGGTCATCTGCAACCTCTGTTATTTCTTTTCTTTTTTTTTTTTTGTTTTTTTGTTTTTGTTTTTCGAGACAGGGTTTTTCTGTAGGTTTGGAGCCTGTCCTGGAACTCCCTTTGTAGACCAGGCTGGCCTCGAACTCAGAGAGATCCGCCTGCCTCCGCCTCCCGAGTGCTGGGATTAAAGGCTTGCGCCACCAACGCCCGGCAACCTCTGTTATTTCTGAAAAATGCTCCTTCCGTGAAGCATGTTCCATCAGTAACCAGGCCAATTCACTTACAGCTCATGTGAAGTGTGACAGATTTTACACATAAATGCCTCTCACATTTGCTAGTATTTCATATTTGCTAAAATTTCAAGTAAACATGCGTTGGTACTTTAATAGGTCTTCATAATTTTACACCAATGCTCTTCTCAACTGCACAGACACTTTAGAAACAATTAGGAAGGGACTCTTGTCTAGAGACTCTTCTTTAATTGAAAATCTAATTTACTATCTTTCTGAGTAATTCCAACATATAACCAGAGCTAAGAACCTATTGTCAAATTCAGGCCCTGCATGTAACAAAAACGGTTAGCACAAACATCCAAATAGGCCAGTGGCCTGCTGATGAAATGTAAATTCCTTCCATAAACAAAGATCTTCAGAATGCTTCAGGGTCCTAGCTTCAAAGTGACTTGATCACACAATCTCTTGCATACATCCTTCATAACTCAATGCCTGAATCCCTGTCATCTTCCTATTTAGAACCTACTTCTCTCGCTCTGGCCTGGGAAAGTACACAATGAACCATTTAGTATTAAATCCCTACGGCATTCACCATCTATTGAACTTAACTGGTGTTGGGGTGAAAATTACCACCTTGGATCATAATTTGTCTTCAGTTTCAGAAGCGATTTGTCTTCTGCTCCTCAGTTACATTTGAAGCTTTGGGAAGTCCACACTAATTCGCAAATGATCATGCAATACGACTTAGGTTGCCATGTTTGTTGTCATTAGTAATGGAAGAACTTAGGAAGAATAATGTCACTTGATATTAGTTCTTTACATTATTTGGCAAGGACTACTTCTTCCAATGATTGCAAGCATTCAAAAAAACTAAATTTATAAGTTCCTTCAGAAGCAACTATTTACTGATAACTGTGTAAGTCTGTATTACTAGCACGTCTCACCGCCAATATTTTTTTATGGTTTTAAATTACCCGGTTTCTAGTCCTATAAGTAACCTTATTAAAAATACCACTATCCTCTTCCTCTCTGTATTTCTCTTTCCCTCTTCCTTCCCCTTTACCCTTCTTTCAATAAACTCCTCATTAAAAAAAAAAAAAAAACCTATCTCTATTCACTGTCCTGAGCACTGTATTCCTTCTCATACAATTAAAATTCACACACAGCAGTGGGTTCTGGGCTGAAAAAAAAAAAAGGCTTTATTTATCTCCTTTGTCTAATTTAATTTAAAGTGTTTATTCACTGGCTTTAGACACCTGAAACTTTTTTTTTTAAATACGGTTTTTACAACTTATGGTGGAATGGTAACATCCTTTTCCATGTTTCATTCATTGTTTTAAGCACTCTGCCCTTCCTTTAAAAAAAATAAACAAAAAAACATGTTAAAATAGAACTTCAGAACCAGAAAATAATAAAGACAAAAACAAATGTTAAGTCATCAAAACTTATCACCATCTATTGCCTTAACAGTGGGACAAGGTCTAACTCAGAAAGTCAATCCAAGTCAATCGCCTTTGACCGAGACCTCTCACAACTGCCACTTTAACAATAATGACGTGTAAATTTACCTTTGTACTAACAGATCATTATTAGCAAACTTTGAGTTTAACATCTACTCTCCAAATGTCACTCCTAAGACAAGTAAGATCCAGAATGAGTGAAGAAAAGGAACCTGGGCAAGGCTTGGAAAACACGGCTACTCCCCAAACTAGCACATCAAAAGGAAAAAATCAAAACAACCAATACTCCACCACTCTGCTACAACCTACCATATAAACTTTCCTGTAAATTAAACTTAAGGAAGCAGCTCGGACCTGGGACTAATGATGCGCTTCCACTTGGAACCTCCTTCAAAGAACCCAAACAGTTGTCTTTCCGACCTCAGAGTCACTGACTGACAGAAGGCCGGTCGAGTTCCCCCCACGCCCCCACTCCTGGCTCGCATGGTCCTAGGGTCCCCAAACTTCGAATCTCAGTCCTGTTCTTACCCAGGCCTGCACGCCTCATCCTGCCTGGAGAGGGAAAGGCGGGCGAGAAGGAGTGGGTAGGAAAGGGTCAGGGCCACCCGACCTCGGCTTCACTTCGAGGGCCCCTCAAGCACCAACTTTTTGCCTCTGAGCGCCACGACATCAGTAGAGTCTAAACACCGCGCCGGTTTATGTCGTCACCCGGACACTTATAGGCTCCCTGCAATGAGGTTTAGATGCATTCTGGGAAATGTAGTTTTCTGCCAGCTCTGGGCTGTTGGCGAGGAGGCGTGGTGGAAACCTGGCCTGGAGGGGGCGGAGCTTCCGGAAGAGTGACTGTCGCGGCTGGGGCTCCAATGTCTGGGTGTTTTCCTCTTCCCGGGCCTCCAGTATGGTACTTTCTGTTGTTAGGGCAAACTTTAACCCACGGTATTTACTCCTTCACGGACGGGAAGATGGCTGATTCATCCTTCCTGGTTCATCCTAGTACTCCACTTTCTCAAAGTCGGGTGAGGAAACGTCAGGGAAAACTTTGTTGACTGTTCTCATCTTAGTGCCTGAGCCTCTCATCCATTTGTTCCTGATAGTTCAATAGACCCATTTCTCTGGAGTAGGACTCCTGGTAGGAAAGCCTGGAGTCTCTCATCCCTTGTCAATGCGTTTGTTCCAAGTCTGGAAAGACCGGTGCCATTTGGCTCTTAAACTCTCCCTCCCAGTTAGACCTTTTAAAACTTACACATAAATACCTAATACTTGTTTTCATGGAGTAAGGAGCCAATGTAAGGGCTTAAAAACTTGTTGAGAGGAATGGGAATACAGTGGTTTATATCAAAGGATCATTATGAGATTGCAAAGGAATAATGGTTTTTGAAAACTGAGAGTTGTTCCCAATCCATGTTCAGATACAACAGTTTTATTGCTACTGTATAACCGTGGTATAGTATTTATAATGGAGCTTTCTGAAAGTGTAATCTTTGAAAAGTGGTTTCCCATTAGAAACACTGGTCATATAAATCAATTTTCAAACATAAACATTGAATATAATCATAGCTTAAGTCTCTACCTTAAGGCTGTATCTGCAAAATACACCCAAAAAAGTTTTCAATGTCATTTTTTGGTTATTTTATTTTTTTATTGTTTTTATTGAGCTGTAAAGTTTCCTCTGCTCTCCTTCCTCCCTCCTTCCTCTCCTTCTACTCTCTCCCATGGTCCCCAGTTTACTCAGGAGATCTTGCCTTTTTCTACGTCCCATGTACTTTAGATCCATATATGTCTCTCTTAGGGTCCTCATTGTTGTCTACATTCTCTGGGATTGTGAATTGTAGGCTGATTTTTCTTTGCTTTATGTCTAAAAGCTAGTTATGAGTGAGTTCATATAATATTTGTCTTTCTGGGTCTGAGTTACCTCACTCAATATGATGTTTTCTAGATCTATCCATTTGCCCGTAAATTTCAAGATGTCATTGTTTTTTTTTTTCTTCTGTGTATACTCCATTGTGTAAATGTACCACAATTTCCTTATTCATTCTTCATTTGAGGGGCTTTTAACATTGTTTCCAGGTTCTGGCTTTGACAAACAATGCTCCTATGAACATAGTTGAGCACTTGTCCTTGTGAGACGATTGGGCATCCTTTGGGTATATACTCAAAAGTAGTATTTCTGGGTCTTTGGGTTGAGAAATAGGTATACTGATATTGAAAGTGGTTGTACCAGTTTGCACTTCCACCGGTAATGGAAGAGTATTCCCTTTCCCCCACAATCTCTCCAGCGTAAGTTGTCATCAGGGTTTTGAGCTTGTCCATTCTTACAGGTGTAATATGGAATCTCAGAGTTGTTTTGATTTGCATTTCTCTGATGACTAAGAATGTTGAGCATTTCCTTAAGTGTCTTTCAGCCATTTTAAATTCCTCTGTTGAGAGTTTTCTGTTTAGGTCTGTACCCCATTTTTTATTGGATTATTAGTTTTTTCATTTCTTGAGTTTTTTTAATATATTCTTTATACATTTCTGGATACCAAAATGTAGAAGAATGAAAATAGATCCATATCTTTCACCATGCACAAAACTCAAGTCCCAGTGGATCAAAGACCTCAACATAAAGCCAACCACACTGAACCTCATAGAAGTGGGAAGTACAATTGAATGCATTGGCACAGGAGATCACTTCCTAATTATAATTCCTATACCACAGATACTGAGAGAAACAATAAATGGGACCTCCTGGAACTGAGAAGCTTTTGTAAAGCAAAGGACACAGTCAAAAGACAAAACGACAGCCGACAGAATGGGAAAAGATCTTCACCAACCTCACAGGGGACAGAGGGCTGATCTCCAAAATATTCAATGTGATATTTTAACTGGGGAAATAAACTTAACTCAATAACATTAAAACAACCTTAATAAAACTAAAGTATGCTACTATTCTCTAGAAGCAACACCCTTAAGTGATGACAAAAATCGGAGTAGTTTTAAAAATAAGCCCATGAGAGACATGATAGGCTTTCCTTTTCACGTACAAACTGTGGTAGTTGTTCCTCCCACCCCAACCCCTTTTGGCATCCAAATGTGAGGCAGAAAGCAGGTTTAATATACAGAATAATAACGACTGATCGTGGTCACAATTGACAGAAAGTAGAAAGAATTATTTTTCCTGTTTTTGTACTTTTCTTCATTTTGTTAAAATTTCTAGTCATTTTATTGATTTGGAGATGAATAGCATCAGTGATTTCATCCTTATTTTCAGAGATAATCTTGTAGAAATATGTAATTTTTGACTGTTCTCAGGCTATTGTTAACTAAAAATGACAAGGTAACATTAAGTATTCTTATTGTAAAAGCAAGAACATAGGCAGAAAACTCTGAACTTTTCCACAAAATTATATATTTTTTAATTTTTCCTGTTCTGTGGTCTCCTGTGCTCTTTAAATTTCTCTTTCTATCTGCATTCCAAGTCCAAACCAAGGGATAACATTTTACAAAGATCTTAAAACTTGTTACATAAACATAAATTTTTTTTCCAATTATGTAACAAAGTCAGCATCTCAAATATTATATTTGAACATGAAAATGTAAGCTAAAATCAAGTAGTTTTGACCTACCAAAAGAATATGAAACAAAAGATAGTTTGTAACTTCATTATTTGGTCACGAAAATAGATTTTTCTGGCAGTGAAGTATGTTTAGATTTCAAATCCAGCTCAGAAAAAAACAAGCCTATCTTAGTTCCCATGCCAGATAATCAAAATCTGTGTAGCATATGGGAGAGTTGAAGCAATTTATGCTTTTCTTGAAGAAAATACAGATGAAAATGCATTCCCCCAGTTCAAAATAAATGTTTGTGATTAAAGATACTAAATCATAATGCTTTTTCTTAACCCCAAACCCTCAACATCATGCTATTTTATTATCTATGTAATTTTGACATCATTCTAATGAAGAAAATTAATTATTAATGAGTTTACTCTCTATATTATACAATGACAATTTCAAGTATGAGCAAAACAATATGTGAAATCAATACAATTGTATAATTGGTGTTTTATGGCTCATAGATGAATATATATTTCAGTCTTGTCAAAATATTGGGAACAGTTCATCAAATTAACATATATTATACTTTAAAATTGTGTGTGTGTGTGTTCATTCGTGTTTGCCTATCCATATGTATGGATGTCAAAGGATGACTTTTGGGAGTTGGTGCTCACCTTGTACAATATCGGTCCTGAGAAGAACAACAAAGGTCATTTTCAGCAAGAACCCTTGGATGCTGAACTACGTTGCTAGCTCATCTAAATTGCACATCGTTTGTTTGTTTGTTTGTTTTTCAAGACATATTTTCTCTGTGAAACAGCACTGACTGTCTTGGAATTCACACTATAGACCAGGCTGGCCTTGAACTCACAGAGATCTGCTTGCCTCTACCTTCTAAGAGCTGGACTTAAAGGCATAATGTCACCACCGCCATTATGAAGTTCTTAATTGCACTTCTTAATAGGCACAAGTTTTACTAACATTCCACATCAGCTTACTGTAGTTTAATAATTGAAAGAAAAAGAAAGTATGTGTTTCATTGTCTTTGCCTCTGTTTCTAGGTAATTATCTTTTAAGATCCTTGGTGATTTTCTTTTTTCATTACAAGTTTACAAATAGAACATGTGACTATGGATGCTGTAAGTGTACAGACTCAGGCACAAACTTTCCATCTTTATCTTGTATTCTTTGTGTATCTTACCAAACTATGATGGGATTAGAAAGCTGCAAGAATCCAAAGCATGTTAACAAAGAATCATGAAAGCACTTACTGCAAATAAACCCTTTGCTCATTAACACAATAAACTGTCCCATTATACTTTGTTTACATGATGCAAAGGCAAAAATTATTAAGAATTTCAGAACAATGACTTAAGAACACTAAACAAGTTTAGGAGCCTTTGTAAAGAAGGCACAGTACAACTGCATAGGTTGCACACCCATGAACTTGCCTTTGTCTTCAGAGGAAAAAAATGAGCATGCAAAGCCATAATTGACAGAGGAAAGGACTAAATGAAATAATATTGATGAGACAGATGTGCTATATAGAGATAGGTAGATAGAGAGAAAATAGGTTGGCACACACAGATACACAGAGAGACTACGTAAAGTGGGGCCCTTCAACTAACAGTGACATTGAAAGGGGAGGAAATAGGGCAGTTCATATATAAGGTATTCCAAGGGAACAGAAAGAAAGGACAGCGTTGTATGTGGTACACTCTTCCCAAAGCACTCACCAAGCAAGTTTCTTTGTAGAATAAGTGGGTTATGTGGTTAATAAAAGATATATGGGTGAATTTCTTATGATTTAGTAAGTTTATGCAATAAAAAGTGGTCTTCAAGATAGGGACTGTAGCAGAACTGAGTTGTGAAGACAGGAAATAAGACTGCTACTGTAAACCACTCCAAGGTGATTCTTCCTTCCAGTACTTCAGGTGCTTTACTAAGTATTCATTCTGGGAAATGATTCCTCCTTAATGCCAATTAATTGGTAGATGTAGAGAGAAGTTTCTGTCCTGTCTGGGCAAGCAACCATTCAGTTCCAAAGAAACACACAGAGCCTTATTTTAATTATAAACTGTTTGGCCCATTAGCTCAGGTTTGTTGTTAACTATCTATTACAACTTAAATTAACCCATAATTCTTATCTATGTTTAGCCATGTGACTTGTTAC